CTGCTATGTCGTCTGTACAGATGCAATCGTGAGGGAGTTCGGCGGTAATTATATCAAAACTACAATCATCAACCCTTCAAACTCCTGATTTCGACCGGAAAGCATTTTCCTTGGCCTCATATTTTGCCTTGCTTCTTTACTAGCCTGCACTTTTACCAAAAAAGAACTTTCCAGACCATATAGGCGAGCTTGCTTAAATATTGACGACTTTCTTCTCAAAATTTGGCTTGGCACTGGCTCCAGCTGCCTGTATGATTACTTAGAGGCACACAATCTTGACGGAAAGAGTTTAGCATTTAATTTAAGAACTAGTCGGAAAAAATGAATAGATTGATGTTCGGAGACGAAAAGATGCCTTTAGCGCGAAGGGTTTGTGCCTCTGAATCACAGCAAAAGCATGAATGAAATTTTCAGATTATATAGTCCAACATCTCATTCCAAGAGTGGTTAAAATTGTTGAGCTAACGTTATTCTCACCTTTAACGGAAAATACATACTATCGAAGTTACGCGTCGTATTCTTCCTGAAAAGTTAGGACGAAGTGTATGTATCTGTGGCTTCCCGAGACCTCCTGGCTGGTATAAGTAAGTGCAGTTGGACACATGTATTCTGAGGACGACAGGACAAATGGACCCGGGCATGGCCCGAATGCCAGCCCACATGTACAAGGACCAGTCAACTCCTAAAGTGACCTCCAAACGTCATATAGTCACATAAACAAAGCATTACAGTATCAGCTTTGGAATTCATAAATAAGCATATTGCTATAACCCCATGAGTTTAGAAGAAGTATTCATTTTTAAACAGCCTAAAAAAAGGGTAAATAAAAGCCACTATTAAACGCGTTAAATTGCTACTCATTTAAATAAGTACAAAATAATTTGAGCATTATGTGGCAGTTCATGACTCATTCCAATGCCGTCTTTCGATTTTACGTTTAATGTCTCACCAATTCGTCTATTTACATATTTGATACACTTTCATTAAAAAAAATAATAGGACTTTCAAGTGTGGACGTAATCGCAATGATCTGATTATAATATGGTGGTCTATGGCCATTTTGGTTCAAATTTTGTAAAGAATAGAACTTGAGCGTTTAGAGTTAAACATGTGTACCTACTCCCGGTGGTATTTCTAATTGTTCATGGACTTAAGTGAAATGCAGTTATCTTTTAGTGGCTGAAATTAGTTGCAAACCCAATCCAATCCTAAATGTTTGCATTACTGGAGGTTACAATTGTGACTAAATAGATGCATATGTCATCAGCGGGCTATAGGTGAACACTACAAAGCGAGCTTTCAAAGCTGGTGTCAATGTTGAGCCAGTTTTAGTATCTAAGTTATATTTCGTAAATACATGCCGATCTTGTTGAACACATTCTACAGTCAGAATACATTACGTTTACAATAACGGTGCCACCAGAACTATTTTTACATGTTAATGCAAGATCACAACTGATAGAACCAAGGATTAATGCAGATGCCGTTGTGTGTTTGTCAAACACTTTATCTTAATCATTTGATAAAATTATACGCCTTCTCCGTTGTTGCGTTGGAACCGCCGTGTGCTCACAACGCCACCTGCTTGACTATTTGGGAGCATCTGATTGGCTGACTGCAACCGCAGATAAAGCAATGTTCCTGAGAGGAGAGCAGCAATTCCATCGCTGAGCTGCAGTCCCCCGCTCCGTTTCATCCATCCACTACATCTTCGAGGCGCGGGGGGATGGCAGAGAGGGGGAGAGTGAGGAAACGCTCACTGGTGAGACCGGAGGAGAGAGGAGGAGGCTGATTATCCAATGAAGAGACAGAGGCAGAGGTGTCGAGCTTATCTTCTCATATATAATGCTCGCAGCGCAAATTCACCTGTTTCTCAAAGGCTTTTCGGTGTCGTAAGTTACTCTTTCCGTTTAGTTCTGTCCGTATATAACCCAGTGACGCCTTTCACTTTACAATGGTTGTGCTTTGGATGGTAACTGCAATTGTTTCTACCACAGGCAAAACTGAGAAATTTGTTACTACTCACATATGGGTGGGGAAATATAAGGAGGCTTAGTATGAAGTGTTACTAAGCCTAAAATCCGTTCATTTCTAACAGCGTATGTATTCAGCGCTGATAAGGTAAACCGTGAAAAGTGAGATTTTATAACTGAACATCGTAGGAATGGAAGAAAAACTCCTCCCTTGGAAGCAAACCTCTGATTTTGTTAGCACGATTTCTAAATTGTGTAAAATCCTCACATAAAAGTAGTCGTACTACGGCATGTATCTTTCAAAGAACCACATGGCTCAAATTTTAGTTAGTTTGTTTTTTAATAGCTTTAATGTCATCTTATGTTACACCGCTTTATGAAAACGCACTCATAAGTCATTTGAAAATTTTATATTTAAAATGCCTATTTGGATGGAAGTCAAGGTGGTTTAAAAAAATAAGTACTTTGCTAGATTACGTAGCGCTAATCCAAATCATCGGACCTAGTGCCACCTCTTCCTTGCTTCTAATCCGCGGCTCCACCATCGGCGAGCGAACACTTTTACAAACACCAATTCATGGTGGTCATTCTTGGAAAAAATCGGTATTTTTAATCCCGCTCATTAAAATATCACACAAATTTAAAACTAGAAATTGTAACCATTTCCTCCTGAGCCATCGGTTTAGACTCCCATAGAAAAACGCTAGGCTTCAATTTGACTGGGACTTGCATGCATTAATCACCTAATTCCATTTGGCGCGACCATGCATGTCCATTATAGTGATAGTTGTGTTCTATATCGGGCAAAATATGATGATATTACCGCATTCGAATTGGGCGACTGCTCAAATGATGATGCGTGGATGCATCTACAAGCATGTTGATGGGTGGGATAGGAAGAGTGGACGTGATCAACCAAGAGATGGCGGCATGGCAAACACCAAAAGTCGCTTCCATCTGTTGTATCCCATAGCCACCTTAGTTATTTGCATTGCGCTTCTTTTATGTATGAAGGAACCTCAACTAGCACATCTCCTTACTGATAAGGCGCAGTGATAACGCTCCCGTCATGATGGAATTGTTTATCCATCCAATGTAATACTTCGATCGTTGGTTGTAAAAGTGGTGACCGAACCTCACGAAACGCGTATTTTTATTTGCTGAACAGTTAAGCAGAGGCAACATTCTACCTTGGAGCAAGCGAACATTGGAACTTCTGTCTTGAGGTAAATTCGTCAAAGATAAAACGCTGACAGAGCGTTCATAATGTGACGCTAACTTCTCACCCAAACCAAATTGCAACACATTAAAGGTGGATGCTTCCTGAACACATTTGTACGTTGATATACTGATGCCTTCGTTAATATGCATGGCAATCCGCCTCCAAAAGAGCAGATTGCCAAAACCTTAGCCTTGTCCCCCACATCCTTGTGCGCGTCGCTACAACTTCCGTCGTGGCCTGTTTGCGTGGACGAGGAGGCATGGGGATTTGGCTGACTGATGTTCCCTTATCTTGATAGCACGCAGCTTGGAGCAGGAGAACACACTTCCGTAAATGCAAACATCGAGAATAACTGTATCAGAGGATATGCTGCATTCATACTAACCTCAGTTCTATGATTCGGTTAAATTCCAGCCTCAGAATTCAGTCCATTAGAGCCTTTTAATCAACCCGTTTAACAAGATTTATTCATCTTTAAGCAACAATGGTCAATTTTACAGTGATGCTTTTAAAAGAATCGAATCAGCAGTCGGTTAAAACGGTTGTTTATACGTAGAGTAATCAGAAATTTGGAGCTGAGTGGGAGTAGGCAAATGAACCGTAGATGTGTTGGAACTCGACTGTTTCTACCCTGTTTCATTGCCTCTTGGCTTCTCGTGATAGTCACCGTTTTTGTCACACACACACACGCACGCACGCACGCACACAAGCACAAACTAAGGTGGACAAGGTTGAAATTTGTAAAAGTGAGAATTAAGTTTTTGTAAGGAAGGTCTACATGGGTGTAGTTTGGCTTGTAATAGCGCGTTAGCATCAGTGGTCACAAAAGAGCTAGGTGAGGACGATGTTGCTGCCTTCGTGGTCGGCACGGTAGTGTCAACGGCGTTAAGGCAGTAAGACAAAAAGAGGGATGGCCGCAGGTCTTATCATTCGTGGCCCATCTACAGCGTTTCCGACAGCCACGGGTTTCTCACAAAACAATCGAGATTTCCGGTGACCTCCGTCCTCTCCACGGCACCACCTACACAGTGGTGAGAGGCCTCATTAATCCTCCCTTTTTACCTCCACCTCTCCTCGGTCGTCGTTACTTTTGCCATCTTGAAGCAAAGGAGGGAAGGAAGTAGTTGCAATCACAGTCAATGGTGTTTTTTAAGGATGAAGAAAAGGAGGCCCAAGTTATGTGCAACTAAGCGATAACAATAGGGAAGGCGGGATGTTTAAGGCTAGTGGGCAAACAGAACGTGGAATAAACACACTCCATATGACACGGCGGACAAATTTTGTGCATCACGGGCAACATTTGGGCTCACTTGAACGACATGTGCATGTGCTCAAAATGAGTGATTATGCAATATGGCCGATTGAGGTGCGAACTGAATGCTTGGAATTTCTTTGACGGTCGAATTTGCGTACATTAAATCAAAAGCTGAAAGTGGAGATTAAACTTGTCACAAAATTGGGAGTTTTCAGTAACTGGTCGTGTAGTTAATGTTATAGGGGCCCATTAAAGATGGTCCATAGTATTAGCAGTTTTAAGTTATCAAAACCGTTCAGATTATTTAAATGGACTTATAGATCTTCTGACACGCAAAACTCTTTTACTTTTTGTGAAAAGTGCTGTAAACATTACTCTTAGTGGTGACTATTTCATTCAAGCCACACAAAACCTTGCCTTTCGCAGAACCATCTGATTTTTATATGAACAGGAAGACGCGCCCGCAAATTAGGTGGACGCATTGATACACCATCGCCCCTTCCCCACTCGCCACATGGTAACGCGGCGCCGCCTTTGATGGAGACTGGCCATGTGTGGTTTTATTGTTTGTAGGAACACGGACGTCATGATTAACGTGCAGAGCGAATCGGAAGGCACAAGAGCCACTGCTATCATTGCTGCTGCCACTGCTCCCATCACCACCACCACCACCATCTACAGCAGTGGCAACGACAGCAGTAGCCTACCAACTGCTACCCCTCGCTGCCTCCCTCTTCCTCTGGATCTTTCCAAACCAGAGGGCGGAGAGAGACTCAACACGTGTAGCCCCTGCGTCAGTATCAGACCAACGGAAATGACGCCGTTGGCTCTATTGCCAGCTCACTTCCGGTGGGATGGCACGTTTAGAGGCATCCCTACACCAGCTGAGCTGGGCAAAATTATCGCGCACCGATCACTCACTCTGCCCGATTTGACTCGACTTGCAAAGTCGCTGTTTCCCATGCCCCCACCCGATTCGCCTACATTGTCGCCTTCTAGCCCCAAGCGCTTTCACATGCCTATCAGAATGTCCCGAAATTGTGGAAAACAACCACAGCCAGTGATCACTGGTTCTCTCACCTCCTCCTCCTCCTCCCCCTCCTCTTCGTCAAAGAGGAGTGGAGAGCGTTTCTACTGTCAGTATTGTGGTAAAATGTTTCCTCGATCAGCAAATTTGACACGGCACATTCGCACCCATACAGGAGAGCAGCCTTACAGGTGTGCCTTCTGTCCAAGGTGCTTTAGTATTTCGTCTAACCTTCAACGCCACATTAGAAACATACACCAAAAAGAGCGACCATTTCATTGCTCACTTTGCTTAAAAAAGTTTGGCCAACGAGCCAACTTGGAGAGACATATACGGAACCATTATTTACTCGACTCCACATCTCAACATTATTCCTTCCTCTAGAATGATGTGAGATGTTAATCTACCTCTGTTTTACCTCGAACTCTCACTCGTATTAACAATGTGTCGCATATTTTGTGTATTTTATTTATTCCACTTAGCTTCAAAATAATGCATTTTACACGACAGACTGTTACTTCCATTAACGGAACAGAGGCTACCTTCCCCCTTTGAATACTCCCCAACGAGGCACGCAATTTTTTTCTAAGTGGGTCATATTTACTTAAGGTGTGCAGAGGGGAGAAGGCTATGGGGGAAGGCAGGAGGAGGTGTTTCTTCACTTTCCTCTGGCGTGTCACATCAGAGACTGTGCTCGCGGTTGTGGGGATATTCGAGGGGTAGGTGGAGTGGTGGTGACACTCGCGCTATACCACCTCCATCCGCTATCATTTTGTGTCACATGGATGGTAGGTGTGAGAGGAACGGGAGCTAGAGGTGGCGGCTAAATGCAATGTCGGAGTGCCAGAACTAAAATTTGCGTGCAAATCAACATGCATTAAAGTACGATTTAATAAATGCTGGATGCTGGACTAACTATATGCATGCACACTCACCGTCACCCCCACCCACATCTTCGACGGGCGAAAATGCAGAGGACTACGTTTGTGTTAATTAATTAAATGGTGCTAGTCTTATTTGCAAAATATAAGTTAATATCTACCACAAAGTTATTCCTTAATATGATATCTTTGTGTATTTTTAAATAATGCAACGATAATTTTTTAATGCATGTTTGAATGCAACGAAGCAGTATGATATCTGATGGATTTGCCATTTTGGGCTTGCTAACTCAAGTAGCCATTAGTAAATTTTATTCACAACAATTTTAAATGTAAAAGCTAGGCCTACTTAAAAAGTTATAGCAGTGGTGCAAACATTCATCTTGCTGTTAGTGAATTCAACGCAATCTTCTATAGAGTGGTAAGAAAGAGCCTCAGCAATGAAAGCTATTTGAGTTTTGAGTCCATCCCTCCAAGCGCTTCATTTTGGCGAGACTGCTACGACTATTTTCCCCATGATTTCGATATGTAGGCCGCTTTATTGCAGACAACGTATGCAAAGAAGAAGAATGAGGTGGACAAGTTTTTTGCAATCGGTGAGTGTCAATTGTGAACCATACATTCAGCCTGAGTGAAGCAACTACCCACCGAATTAGAAATAACTCTGTGAATCTGTGCGTAATCACCGCCACTTAAAGTGAATCCGTAGAAAGTTTTCCTGAGTCTAACACTCGGAAAACACAATTCATGTGTACTGAATTACGATGGCGTGTATATGTGCGCTTTGGATAAATCCCTTAAAAATTATTCCTTCCTTTAGCGTGGGCGCAAACCAAAAGCTCCACAGCTAATCTGCAGTCAAATCACAGGACAAATTAAATGTCACTAAACCTTTTGGAGCAAAATTGTAATTGCAAACTCTTTCCACTCGCACATCCCTGCTGACTGCTTAAAGTCAAATTAAAACACACCCACCCCAAGCTTCATAATCCTGGCAGCAATTTCTAAAATAACCTCCTTTCTTACAGCTTACGTTTACTTCAATTGTAGACCAAAATGTGAAATTTCCTCCTGGCAAGGATGCAAGAAATGCCCTTACTTTCATGCGCATTCACTTAAAAAACCAGTTCACTCTCTTAACCGGAACACTTCCGATCCCTTTAAATCACTAACCTTTCTGTTGACTTTGAGTCCCACTGATGTGCATCACAGGCACAGGCGTCTATACTTCCCCCGTTCCCTATGATCTGAAGAATGCATGACCAGGAAGTAGGGTTGATCACAATAAAGGAGATCTACTGTTCAATTTATGTCACTTTTAATAAATCATTTTTAGACTCGCAGAAATACGGTTTGAGGCCACGACATAGACCGAAATTCCGAATTGGAAAAGCAGTAGTCGAATCAATGTGCACTCATTCCCTTTATCCTAAGTGAATCAGCAAGTCCCAGTCAAAACGAATTTATCCCGCATTTCTCTCAGCTTTCAGATTTCTTCAATGTTCGTCTCAACAAGAGGAAAGCCTATTGATACACATATATATGAGTCAAAAATGACTCCTTAATTAGAACCATCGTTCAATGGATAGGAGTCGAATGGTTTTATTAAAGCCAATTCATGAAAGTAGAGTTTGACCAGTTTATATGTGCGCACTAATCTCAACGCCAGTACAACATTTGATTACACGGCTTATTATTTTCCTCAAATTGTCAATAGCCCCGAGTTAGCGATGCGCAACCATATTTTTGGAGGTTCATACCTATTGTCAAGCAAATGTATCGAGATTTTAGCTTGTGTTCAATTCAGGTAGGCAACTGAGATGGCATAACTCCCATTTTGAACTCTACCCTGTTTCATCAGAATTGATACATTGAAAAGTATGCAAAATCTTTGCGAAATTTAGGCCACTGAAGTTATAAATTATAGGTGATCGTTACAAATTACGTGATAAATACAAACTGCCAAAGTTGATTGGCTTGCGCTATTGGAAAAATTATCCGTACATTATTCTGAAATAAGGAGAGGATTTCTTTGGGAGAACCAATTAGAAAGTACATCATTTCGAAGGAAAAATCAGAACTAAACTGCTGTTCTGTTCTTTGGAACTGAAATAAAAATGGATTATGCATTTAAAATGCAAAAAATATTGCCCTCAAAAGCACACAGGTAAGCTGATGTAATTCCTTAATGTATGTGGTGTGAATCATGTGCACACCAAGTTGGGCGATCAGGGAGTGCGGATTGGCTCCTCCCTGGCGTGTGCGTGCGCATGCACACGTGCGGCCCTGTGGGCGAGGCAGCAGCACGGGTGCACACGAAATGCGCGGGTGCTTTGCCAATAATGCCTGCAAATGAGGCAAGCAATGCAGCACACTCCGACAATCATCGGTAGGTGTGCGAGAGTGTATTCAATAAGGGCCGAGGTTGCAACCGCGCGTGTGTGCACAGTGTGCATGTACGCAGTGTGCACCCAAACCTGTTGTGACTCACGCAAAAGCACACAAACACTGCAAAATCCAACTGCAAGGGAGGCTCCTCTGGTTTGACTTTCGTCAGAGTGGATATTTGTGGCGCTACACAGTACCAAAAAATTTTTAAATTTATTCGTTTATAAGAGCAAAAGCATGTCTCAGGTAGCACCCAAAGTGGACCAACTTTCGGATTCTGAAATGGATGATGCTTCAAAGATTACAGGTCTGTGATTTCCTAAAACACATTTTATCCTCTGATAGCATTTGCGTGCATCTAGGCAACTGTCCGTACTTTATAAATTTCGGCAGATATTGCGTACAAATTACCTAATGTACAGATTCTTACAGCATATGTCTATGCTAGCGTTTACTTCAAATGCTGACTTTTAGCAGCTTAAAGAGAATCAAAATCCAGTTGCGTCTGTTGTGCAGAAGCCTAGACCCCCAGGGTGCCATCTTGCATCAATCATTCCAAAATTACTAAAAGTACAGACATAAGCCAAAGGTGTTTGGATCAGTCCATAAAGGAAGAAGCGAAGAATCGGTATAACGCTCATGAAAGGCTGTTTTTTATGCGCACGTTCGACACTTACTTAGCTCTTGTCATCTTCCATTTAAGTTAGTATGCGAAACATAGAAATGCTTCCTGCTTAAGCTTTCCAGGGACCGATCTTGCGGATAAAACGAAATTTGTACGAGCGATGAGATCCACTTTAAAGTACATGTTCGTATAGAGAGCCTAACTGAAATGTTTAGTGCTGTAAAAGACAGTGCAATGTTCTCTTGAAGGTAATTAATTCAGATCGCAGCAAAGTCTGGCCTGTAAGAGACAAGTGTCGACGGTACGCAACATAACGCGACGTAGTGCCCTCAGGCCTCCACAAACTTATCACGGTGACAAGCATTCTGACAGTCATTATTTTTGGCGAATGTACCACTGACCTGACCTCGGTACATTAAACCGGCTGTAATGTGTTCGTCCATGTCGAATGTAAACACAACACACTTCGCTTTGCCTTAAGAAGAGCTCTTTGCACTCGCAAAAGGCATGCAATTTTGCCACCTATCAGCTGTATGCTAAAGGCACTCATTTTGCATGCATACATACATAAGGCATCTTCTGTTTCATTGAAGTTAAACAATTTTTCAGAATTGAGATCTTAGAAAATGATTTTGTAGTTGAATCGTTAATTGTCAAATCACTAGTTGGAATCTGAAAGTAATAAAAATGGGTAAGACAATCGTAGTCTGGCCCTTAATGTCACTGATCATCGGTTTTAAGTGCACTCCTCTAATGTCTTCCTTTTGGCACAATTTGTGATCGTAGCATCCAACTCAGAGCAGTAGCTAAATTTTATTTTTCCTTTTAATGATCCCACTCATTCCCTTCTTCCAACAGATCCGGCGTCATGTCTGGACTACTTAAAGAGAAGAGAGGTGTTCCTCTACAAAATGATGAATGACCCCAGCCACAAAGCTATGCTCTACTTCCTCGAAGTCCTTATGAATTCCGAGGCCCCACTAACAGTGGAGCAATTGGCTGCAAGGTTTTCGAATAAGTCCTTTTCCACTGAAATGCGAGAGGCCTGTGGAGGTGGAAGCGTTGATGCTTTGAAGGAATTTCTCCTTAAATATCCCTCTCTCTTCACTGTTAAGCCAACAGGCCTGGTGAGCGCCGTGGCTATTGAAATGCCAGGTTTCGATGAGATGTCTGAGAGCAGTGTTGATGTGGATTACCTCTCAATGAAACGGAACCCACAAAACGCTGCAACTACTGGATTATCATCTAATCGTTCTAGTCAAAGAGCTGCAAGCCTTTCTTCCAACGAAACCGGTGAGGACCCGACGCAAAGCACACAGCCAGCACCATTGAAGCCATCGCTTAAGAGTTCCACCAATGGGGGTGGCAGCAGCAGCAGCGCTGAGGTAAAACCAGTCGGCATTTATCAGCCACCAATTTTGAGAGCTCAAGCAGCTGCGGCTTCTGGAGCAACCCAAAATAGAGGCTCTCACATATGCGATATGTGCTCTATTGCAGCTCATGTGGCAACTACGGCGACGACGACTGTCGTACACTGTCCATTCACCGATCTAAATTGCCTGGGACATCACCATCACCATCATGGGCAGAGACTTAATCAACTTCTTAAACACGCTCACTCAGCCACAAGTCATTGCTGCTGCTCAAATGATCTCTCTTCACCCTACTGTCGTTCATCAGGCAAAGTAGTAACTTGTTCACAGGTGGCCAACTTTACCTTAGAGGCAGAGGCGGTAAAATTCTTCCAGCAGCGGCTCTGTCGCAAGGAAGAACGATGGGTTCCTATTAAAAGCCTTGCAGGCCACCTTTCACAAGCCTCTGCAGAGGTGCGGTCGATAGTAGGCCCGCAGTTGGAGTTTCGGCGTTTCCTGCTTAAACATCCGCATGTTTTTGAGGTACAAGGCGATCTTGTTGGCCTCAAAGATCCTTTCATTGCAACTTGCTTATCGTCAAGGCGACCAAAATCTTTCGGAGGCACCAGTCTTAATAGCCAATCATCAACTAGCCTCTCTACGCTCAATCTTCGTGGGGCTACTGGACCAGGTGTTGCGATCGGTTCGCAAAAGGTTTCGCGGCCCAAGTCTCTCATCATGTTATCTCAGGCGGCATCAACTGCAGTCTCAGCACCCATTCCCCGACGTCTTGGGAACATACCTACAGGGTCTGAGCATCTTCTCACTGGAAGGGATCAAGATAACTTCACCCCTTCAGCGCCAAACACGCCAAACTCACAACTCAATCGAAACAACTCTTCGAGCATTCGTCCACGAGCTAACGGAGGTACTCAAAATTTTGCTCGTCACAATCCTCCACAAAATGATACCGTGAGTTCATCAGCTCGTCAGTTGTCAAGGCGAAGTCGTGGCCAAGAAGCAGATACATCTACCAGTGCTAGCGGAAGCATTTGCATTCGTATGAGCGCCAACGAATATCGTGCAATCATGTTCCTTCGAAAGGTTTTGTCAAAGAAGGGTGGCGCACCAGGACAAGCAGGTCTTTCCTATTTGCAACTGATGCAAATTTTGTCCTCAAAGGCACCAGAAACAGTTCAAAGCGCAATTGGCTGGACGAAGGTAGAACTGGAGGAGTTCATCCTACAACATCCGATTTTCTTCGAAGTGCACGGTTGCACCGAGCCTAACAAGGCTCAGCCTGGAGTTGGTGTCACATGGACGGGAGCGGAAGCAAGCGAGCAACCAACAGCTCTTGTGACAAACCGACGTGTGCTCAAGATGATTAACATTGTCATCACAGGAAACAAACCTCCGGATTCGGGCCTCCGCGCAATGACCAACCGATGCGGTCGCGTCTTCCACGTAGCCAAGCTATGGGGCATCATTGATCTGGGAAAACATGAACACGTCTTCTTTGACAAATCCATTCTAAAGTATGTAGATGACCTCCAAAAGCACTTCAAAGTGAGTTATCAATGCATGATGCAGATTCCTTCGCCAGTATTAGGCCGTAGTTAAGGTGTATAAAAGCCTTAAGTGCATGTATCGCAACTGATAATTGATGTTAGCGTAAGCCCACTCTTTATGTACCAACATCGCATTGTAAGTGTGTGGCAAGCTATAAGAAGCTGATGATTATCGTGGATTTATAAAAGTGGTAGTAGTAGTAGTGAGCATTGGGGCTATGATGCGACGCAAGCATTCGCGATTATGAGGAATATTCGAGTTTTAGGCGCACAATTTCCGATACACTTATCAAGTTTTTTTGGGTCTTTCAATAAGGCTGGCTAAACGACTAATACAGAGTTTGGTATATGGCTTCAGGAACACGCACAGTTAGTCATAATCTTGAGTGGCATCCTTCGTAAAGGAGAGAGACATCGAAGCAGGCGTAACCAACCTACAACTACACACTGGTATTCGTGGTATCCCGTTGAGTGGTCTGCCTCTTTGTTAGAAAAGATCACAGTTTAAACCATATTACTTCAAGGAAACCCATCGCATTTCTTATTCAACACAACGCACAAGCCATTTCGGTGTCAGTTATGGTAAGGCGGAGATGTGTAGGCCTCATAGCCGAGTCGGTTGCATCGGCTATTCACTTCCACTTGTAAAAGCTTTTTGCGCACTGCCGTATCGATCCTCGCTTCGTCCGTGCGTGCACGCGGCGTGCGCGTGTGCGCCGTAAATCTGCACTTCCATTGGTCAGTGACCTCGACAATCCTTATGTACGGCTTCCTTGGTTCGACAAACAAATACCTACTTCAAAATTTTTGGATCCTTTACCTTCTACATAATGATTGTTGAACCTCTTAGTCATTATAAAGTCTGTACAGATGTCTAAGTCAATGGGATTGGCTGTTCGCAAAATTGTTGGAACGGCGCCAATCGCTTCTCTTACATTCCCCATATTTCTATTCCTATAATCAGTGTGAGTATAACACACCATAGTTCCTCGGCTGTCTTGATTCGGATGTGTTTCCTCCTAATCCTCACGGGCAACCAAGTAACAAACTTATTCATTGCAATTGCAACTGCTATTGCAAAATTTTCATGCTTCTATGATTCATGAAAATAAGATGATGAATTTCATTTCGGTTATGGCATTTTGAACCTGGTACACCGCCACGAAAACAATGTAAGCTAAAGCCTTAATGAAAGACATACTTGACAAAGTCAGTGTTGGAAGGCTAATTTCACTACAAACCAATCACCCTACAATTGGCTATAAAACCAGACAGTAGGAGCAAAAAGGGGTGATACGTTAAGGTGGGCCAGAAGCTCGTCTGCGTGTACACCACAATCACATTATTATGCCCGGAAATAGAAATTATTCTCCATTTTTAAGTTGCTACAAAGGTCTCAAGCGTTATAGAATGTATTGTTCAATTTTATCAACCCTTTTAGAGTATGCTCCGGACAACGTGTTTTATGAAGTGTAACTGGTTGCTAGACCCTGTTTTATTGGACTCCGCATTCATCTACTTCGACGACTGATTCGTGTGTTTGATATCCCACACTTTATTCATAGTTTTACTAATAGTAATTAGTAATAGAGCGTGCTTTAAATGCAAATGTTTACAGCTACTCAGCTACTATTACAGCGATTATTTACTGGCTCTATCAAAACAAAAAGTAAAATACTCGTGCAAATTGCATTCAGGTAAATGAAACGCTCTACTTCAATGCGATCCTCGCTCCAAAGGAGTCGCGTGCAAAATGGAGGGCTACTCAGGTGTGGAAGGAGTGCGATAAAGAGATAATGGAAAAACTCGGTTGCAATGCTTTCGCTGACCGTAGCGGGGGACGCGCTGCAGCTTCACTTTCAGTGCCACCGAGCTCTGGCACGGCGTTAGGCGCTGCGACAAGCGCTGTCGCTGCCATCGGGGGAGAAAGGGAGGACGGAAGGGCCAAAACTGAATGGGACTCCTCTGAATACGGTATGGTGGACGAAGAAGGAATGAGAGAAGATGTTGGCGAGGCCATCGGTGCTGCTCGTACCGAAGGACTGAACCTCATTAACGATATCAATTTCCTTTCCGACGATGTGGAAGCCGAATTGGAACGCATTTTAGGTCCAAATGAGGAACCCATTACAACAGCTACTACAAACAATATTAATAACACAAGCAATCGGGTTCTCAACGATGTGTCAGACGAAGACACCAGCATCACTGGATGTATCGAGGACATTAGCGTCAACTTCTCCGATGCTGGAAGTCTCTCAGAAAAGTGTTCACCATGCGTCACCTCCACGACTCAGAAGGAAAAGAAGTCTTCACTGTTTGCTGCCGACTCGCCGCTTGGTGAGCGTTCATCGATAGCTGTTCAGACCCTCTCAACGGGAGACATTATGGCAACTCAAATCTTCCATGATATCACCTAAGACGTGTGAATCTACTGTCGCACAGAAATAGATACACACACTGCCGCACCCCATCGCATACACATTCTGACCTACATGCGAAAAGCAATCTTATTTTGCTGGCCTTTTTACCGGTCATAAGGTCATTTTATGTTTTTCAGGACAGTTTCTGTTCCTTTTATCGCACGATTATTAGTACAAGAGGAAAAAATTACTGCATTTTAAACCTTATTTCCCAATACGCTATAAATTACTTCAAATAAAAGTGTTTGTCAGTCATTTCGATTTGGTGATTCTATTATTGGGTGGCGCTTGCAATTAGGCTTCTTAGTCTTAAAGCTCAAGCATCCACTCCTCAGTGCTTCAACATACTGTGTTGTTTAATGCAACGACCAATTAGTACCGCTCTTCACTGGTCATTATTTTCGAATAAATAAGTGTGAAATCAGAGCGCTTCGGACGGAATGCCGACAGAAGAACATACCGTCTTTGATATGTACTGTTAATGGTATGGGAATATTTTGTTTGCTTGTCAACCCCCATGAGTGGCGGTGGTTTTGACGGACATCCTGCTTCTGTGTGTGGACAGACAACAGCCGCTGTGATGCTTTGTTTATGTGACCATCTGATGCTCGGCGGTCACTTTAGAATTTGTCTGGCCCTTGTGCTCGTGGGCTGGCCTTTGGGCCATGCTCAGGCCTATTTGCTTTGTCCTCCTTGGAATACATGTATCCAGCTCCACTTGCCGCCTTCCTTTACCTGATAAGTGTCGAGACGGTACAGCCAAAAAGTTATGAATTTTGTTTGAATACATGTATTTAGCCATGTCTATTGTAGCGCCCCGAGACTTCCCATGGGTGGAAGAAGACATGAGGTTGAATACATGTATTTGGCAGACGACAGGACGAATGGACCTGAGCGTGGCCCGAAGGCCAGCCAAATGCCAGGTAGTCACACAAACAAAGCATTACACTGCCCCTCTCTTCTTTTGAGCGACGTCCTCGGCGCCCTCTTGGTGCACCTCTTACGTCAGCCATCTCAACATATTCGGTACTACTACAAGAAAGCACCCACAAGCCAACCGCGCCAGTCGACAGACAACACGAGACTGAGGAACCGTACCTGGTCTCCTCTGCAGCTTCAACTGGATCTGGAGTTGCGTTCGGTCTGACAACGAGATTCGGGACCGCCTACACCTGTTGACCATCAATTGCTTCCAGGACTAGACGGTGGAACTCTGGTCTAAAACATATATGTTATGGGGGAAACGGGATGAACCACTGTCCTGTATGCGAGGAGATCCGTGGTGTCATTTCCGACACATAAACACGAATGTTGTATGGAAAATTCCGACATGAAACTATTCCAGATAGTTCACGGCGGTGTCGCTTCAGCCGCTAATAACTTGTCTGTGGAAAACGGGACTAAGGTGAAAGCAAATGCAGACGTCAGTCGAAATCTTTTCTTTATGAAGGATTTAGGGATTCTCCCACCACCGAGGCAAATGTGCTCTCTGCACACCGTAGGTACATGCAACAAACGGTACGTGCTAGGGATAAAAGGTCGTTAAAATAACGTCGGATTCGCCTTCCGCTGCTACCAGTGTAGCATCCCGGGACTTCTCATAGGTTGGAAGAAGGCAGTGAGTGAAGCTGGACACATGTAAGCTGAAGTCAATAGGATAAATGGGCCTGAGCACGGTCCGAAGGCCAGTTCCACTTGTACAAGGGCCAGACAAATCCTAAAGTGACCGCCAAACTTCAGGTAGTCAAAGAAATAAAGCATTACATCCATTGACACTTACTACCAAATAGGAGGTTTCGGAACGATACGAATGCATTTAAAACGATGTTTAGGCGGTGAATTTTGCCTTTTGATAGAGAACCTATAAAATTGATATGCGTTGGTTTCAGCGGGGTCTTTCAAACTCGCAATTGCTCGACATCAATGGCAGTGAATATTAGGAATGGTCTAGAATCACTTGGTTTGAGGGCTGTTTAAATACTTTATTTATGTAGCCGCCTAAGGCCTGTCGTTGGCTTTGGTAGTGGTCCTCTTAGAATACATGCATTCAGCTTAACTTAAGGCCTACTTTCACATGGTGAAGGCCTCGAAGCATTACAACTGTTCGCTTAGACTGTTTTAACACTTATAACTGTTTAGGGTGTGAATGATAAAATTAAAAGAATTTCCATCTAAATATTTGAAATAATTGCTAAAACAGTGCTGCCAATTGCAAACTATGTAGATGCCGATTTTGCACTCTCGGAGTGGGACATCATAACATCCTCATATGGATTATTATAATCGCATTCTTGATAATGTCTTGAGCAAACCTTTACAATCTTTACATTTATATATGCATTAGGTAGTGTATTCAGGAGCTTCAGCATTCGTTTTGGGTTGTTGATCCGCTTTATATTCAAGGTCGTTACTGCTTATTCTCTGGCGTCCTTAGCAAGAGCGGCGGGATTTTGCGGGTACCTACACATGCTCTACGTGAATGCACATTACGACGGTTATGAAATCAAATTCCTTAGCTTATCTAAAAACTTTGCTTGCTTTGTTCCTCCAAACGATCAAAGAACTGTTTTTATTCTCGAATTCAATCGTCTGCGTTTGTGCAGTGAGGAGAGATCGCTGTCAAAAACTAATCCGAAAAGGCTGTGTTATGAACCCTATGAGGTGAAAATAGTCAAACATTATGAATTTCAAAACATCATTTACGTGTTGACGTATGATAACGATGTGCTACGTGTCTATGAGTCGAATGTCAACAAAAGTGGCGATGTACAGTCGAAGTAAATTTTGTATACCTTATTTATCATAGTTGTTTCTCGGAGATCCGTCATGAATCTGTATCTGCGGTTGACTTCGGCATTCAGAAAATGCGAGTTGCACTGGCATCGGCTTTCACTGTTTGTATAGTATGAAATGTCACGTTGGGTGTTAATTTTTATAGTGCAATCTGGATAATTGCAATGGAGTTTCGGAGCTTGGAATTCACGCAAAAAAGGTCACCTCCGTTAACTTTTTAACGACAAAACTTCTTGGATCATTGGACGAATCATATTTGTGCAAAGTTTGGGATACGGATGCTATGACAATATATATATCTGTCGTATTGAGTGGGATATCTTCCTTCGTTTATGCAAAAGATTTCATGTTTTATGGCACAAATGCTGGCCAAGTATGCTCTTATTTCATTTTACTCGGTAGATTTACTCCATCCAAATTACACATTCAAAAACTCGTCCTGTTTATTTCTCAGTTATACCAAAACCTTCAACAATTTTCGAAGGTCATGATTTTGACCCACCACATAAGGGTTTGTCTGTAGCATATGCAATGAGCTCACAGGTCCATCAAGACAAGAATGGAGCTATACGACAACCATGAAAAGCATATCCATTTCTGATCAGGTAGCGTCTGAAATTTTAGCTATGGAACTATGTTCAGCGCCTCCATCAAACCTGTGCATGTGAGTTTTGATCTTAGAATACTCCGAGTAAAATAATAAGGAACTCTGCTTCGGTATCCTAGGCAGTATATGCCTTGTTTTGATCAAATAATCATTCTCTATTCTGGAGTTGCAATTATGTTTAAAGGTTGTGCATCGTTACCACAATCGGAATTTATTTACTCAATCAGCGGACGCGAAGTTTCGACACCACTTTCCAACTAAACGACCTCCTTTTGTCAAACTGGTACTATGCAAGATCGGCTGAAATCGTTGTTTCTGAGGCAAGCTTATAAAATAGTGTATATTATTACTATTCTTTAATAGGAATGTTTAGTTAATGCACCCACTTTTTCTCCTTCAGTCGTTGAACTATTGAGTATTTTATGACTTGTTTTATGTTTTTAGGACTTTATAACAATTGCATTGCATTCATTCAATGGTCGATGCGTTTTGGTGTCGATTAATCTGGAAATCTTGTCAAATTTGGGTCACGAGCAGAGCGAGTTTTCACCCGTGAAGAACATCGGAAGTTGTGAGCTATCATTTTTGGCAGCGTAAGCGTCAACCTCTTGAACTATTGTCAAAATACTTGATTTCCAATTGCAAGTTTTTTATGGTGACTAATGCATTGTTGCCTGGTTTTTTATACTTATTCAATGAAATCGATGATGACTTCAACTTGTAATATTTTTATGGTATACGAGGGAAACGTGCCTGGCACTTGGTACACCTCCTATTTTGATATTTTTCAACGAAAGTGTCCCTTAGTGATCATAGTTTGAGTAAGTTAGCACGTCTATTAATTTAGAGGACTCTTTTCACACATAACGATAGGTTATTCCGTGATGGTGGTATCATGCTTTGTGTCTGCATAGCCAACCAAGCTGTAAAATCCGAAGAATTTTAGGCCTCAATAATTTGAACTAATTCCTTCTTGCGGCTTTTATTTATTCAAGAATGTAATGATAAACTTATTGCAACTGTAGTGAGTTTGGGCCTTTCCTTCCTAGGGCTTGCAGGAGAAACCTATATTGATAGGGGTTTGTTAGGTATCCCTAGGTCTACAACAAGTAATTTGTGTATGAGTAGGCAAGATCTACCTGTTGTAAGAAGAAGTCCACTTTGCAGGGCCCTCGAATACCGCGATCGAATTGAATTCCCGCCTCCTTCTTACGAAACGCAATTTAAACAATCATTATGTGTTACAAATATCGTCTGTTTTTTTGCTCTCGGTTTATTTGATGGTGGGTTTCGCTTACGCGAATTCAAGTTTACAGATCTGGCTTACCTCTTAGGGATTGGTATTGTAGCTTCGTTGATTATTTAGTTTAAAAGGACTTTCGTTGTTCTACCACTGCACTTTAATTGTTTAGTTATTTAAAAAGTGTGAATAGCGGACAGTTTCGTACATGCTTCTCCATTGGTTTGGCGGCATATTTTTGCCCGCGATTACATGCTTGGAATGGACAAGCGTTTTTAAAAGCGGGTTTGTGAGTGCGACACACTTGTTTTTATGCTAAAATGATTTGCTTATTTATTCGTCTCTGCCTTTTGAGTAGTACTTAAGCCTATTAACTACATTCCTATGCCTTTTCGATAATTTTATGGGCCTATCACATACAAATTTCTTGCCTACTATTAAGCCCTTCTCAACTCTCTGCTTAATATTAGGGACGCCTTGAATGTGTCAAATTCTTTGGGGAAGGCACTTGTTCGTCGGCATTCGATGCTTAAAACGAAACAGGTCTCTGGATCACGGTCTAAGTCCAAAGTGCGGTACCTGAACAGTCAATGTGGTTCCCAGAAAGCTCCTGCTCACCAGCCTGTAACCTTTGGACACACTGTCAAGTCCTCTGGTTATGGACCTCATAGCTCCAAGTAAATCTTTGCTCGCTTTGCCGCAGTCAGAGTAGTTGCGATGTTTTTTACCAAAAAGAAATGAATTTCTTGCAGAGTGGCCATACGTGGGCCTCAAATCGCTAATCACAAAGCGAAGGAAAATGCGAAGGCACAGTAAGTTTTTCACACTACATCCTAATCTAAGTGAGAAGATGGTGTGATAGCGCTTATTAGACCTTAAATTCCTATTAATGTGCTTGGAGTTATTAAGCAGCAATTCCACATTTGTTTGCAATTTAGACTGACTAACAAATTGTACCAGAAGTATCAATACGGCCTTGAACCTGCATTCTGTTGTCTGGTGTCTGAGCGCCTTGACGCGGAAGAAACACCTCTGTATTCTGTATCATACTCACGTAATGTTTTCTCTTCGTTTTCATATTATTTAGCCTTTTTCAATGCGTTAACACCTAAAGTGGGATCTGCAAGTCTCATTTTTATGTCCTGGTATTCAAATAATTTTACCACATCATTACGGAAATAATGTGGATTATTGTAAACAAATAGCCATATCCTGTTCCCATACTGGCTTTTTATTAACAAGCTTCACACTCTTTATTCATTGCCTACTATTAGCAACAGATGATCGAGTTGCCGTGGCCCAAGGGAATGGTCTGTGCTCCATATTGCGGGTGGCCAGATCGAGTAACGGAGCCCGGACGAGATGGTGTAAAGAGCAAACAGTTCTTGCGGGACACCGCGGCATCGTATCCAGTGCAGAGTGGTCACTTGATGGACAGTTCGTCATCACCACCTCAACGGACAGAACAGCCCGCCTGTGGTCCGCCAATGGAGGGGCTCTTCATCTTGTCGTAACCTCTCCTCTAGGCGGTTTTGCTGATGGCCACGGACAACCTCTACGCGCCACCAACAAGAAAGTAAAACTAAAACCCATCAATTTGTGACAGTGTTACCCTGGTTTACTCAGTCATGTTACTTGAATACTCTCCTCATAAAATTCTGGTTTGATCTCTTATTTGTTTCTAACTCCTTTCGCTATGTAAATTAAACTCTGAATTAATTTTTCACTACTGATTGGTAGGTCAACGCCAGTAACATTGCCTTCTATAAAACGCGCCAAAGGGACTCCAAATGTCGATGCAGAGCAACATAATAATGTCCAATTGTAGTTTCGCTACCACTACGAAACCACTCACGATTCAAGGTTTATGACAATCCCCTTCATTTGATTGTAGTACTGCGCAGACTCATCAAAATTGATTGGCATTAAAATCGAATCACTGCTATATTGCTCTCTTTTAGAATTTTCCCATTTCTTCGGAATTTGTTGATCATGTGCAATTCGGGAGGTTTCATCTACAGGACAGCTTCTTCCATGTGACCTGTCGAAATAACATATTTTTCTTCACTTTCAACATTGACAAAAGTGCAAACGTTCTCCATAAGTGAGTCTTCCATACACCCTTTTCAATTTTGCAGGCAAGGTCAATGGTGATTTGGTTGAAATCGGTTGATTAAGCTAGTGCTATTCTCTTCTCTCAGTAATCGCTTGCTGCAGATGCGTGATGCATATTTACTTTCGGACAAAATTTATTTTTAAGAGCTCTTGCTCAACTCTAGCCAACTTGTGAATTGTTTAAGTGTCGGTATCGCTGTTTGTACTTGTGAGAGCAGCTGTTGTCGGATTTTCATCTCTCTCCTACCCTTCCCTTCCGGTAGACCGCATATAAGGGATATGCAAGCTTTGAGGGGCTTTACCTGAAATAGTGAGCACAGTGAAATCGTTAGAGTTTAGCAGAAAAGGCTGAAGCATCCACTCTAGGCTCCGCTCCGAGAGGTACGTCTGCTCCTCCCGAACCGAGTCTAAGTTAAGTCCTAGCCTCTCGCCCACTAGGCGCATTTAAAGAACTGATATACGTTGCTTGCGTTGCTAAACTTCATATTAATGATTGTGAGAGTAGCTGCTTTCAGTTAATATTTCCTACAATCTTCTCCATTTTAGGTGTCACATAGTGGCATCATACCAACGTGTGGCAAAATTTGATTTCAACTTATGCAACAGGCTCACCGCAGTGTCGTCAACCAACCTTTTTTACTCGTGTGAGTTAACGTTGCCTTGCTTTTGCTTGACGCTATGTGACTCAAATGGTAAAATGGATTTTAGACCTCCTGTTGGCCGTGGGGTCCGACCGCTGTTTGTACATTTTGGACATCAACAGTAAGAAGATTGTGCGTGACATCTCAGCCATTCATAAAGCCACGGTGACGGGTGTTGCCATAAACCAAGTAAGATAACCTAAAATTTGTTTGAATTGGATTACAGCCATGGAGCTGCCTAAACGGAATTTTATCAAATCGGTCAGATTGAGATCCTAGGTTTTCATGTTGGGTTTGATGCAGTTCAATGCCTTGGAGAACAAAATCTCATTTAAGCATCAAGAAGCCTTTTTTAGCCATGAAAAAGAACTAAATTGTGGATACGTTCGAAATGACACATAACAATAAAGTGTTGATGCAACTTTATAATATCTAATTGCTTGACAGGGGTCGCTCTACTCATCATTCACTGCAGAGACCTCCTCAGATAGAGCACTTGGACGTGGTTTTGGTGGCAGTAGTAGCACTGGTGGAGCCTACAGCCTCTTTGCGACGGCGGCGCCAGGTGATAGCGTGCGTCTCTGGGACCTTCGAGTGGCGCGCAGCCACGTGGCTGAATTGGCCTGCTGCAGGACTGCCTTCGGCCCTGGCGAAGGTGACGCAGTTGGAGGATCGGTACGGGATTCAGCCGTTCCTCCAGTGTCTTTAACGTTCTCTCCATGTGGTCGTTACGTCTGTTTTGGGGCGATCGCCTCCACGACCTCTACTCAACACCTGGCTCCCACTGTGGTTGACATTCGTCAGGTTTGCAAGCCCCTAGCTCTCCTAATGATCCCGGACCACAGACCCAGTGCTTGCAGTGCTGCAACTGTCGTGGCATGGAATCCTGTCAAGCCAGAGGTGCTATTTTATCGTACTTGATTGTGTTCCCCTTTATAGACTAAAATCGGTTACTAGTTGTCAATAGCCCTTGACGAATCTAAATTTGGTGCAGTTGTAAACATTATCACCACCTAAATCTAACTCGCCATTTTTGGTAGCAGAGCTAGAAACAGATCTATTGTCTTTGCTTACCAAATCGTTAATTTTGTTAAACTTCCTGTTAGTTCATAACTACCCCTATCTTATGACACTTTTCTCAAGTACTCCTTCATTTTATTTTGCATTTGCCCTAACCTTGAGAGTGCTCTTGAATTCTACCACCGTACATTTGTATTAATGCATGAAGCTGAGATTATTATAGTCACTTTTTATAAAAGCAAGACGACTTTACAATGTCTTTGCCTATGCATAACTTTTTTACATCCAATATAGGTGTATAAACTTTGATTTAAACGATTCACTTGTTGAGAATAATTTTTCATCTGCTTTCTCCTCACAAGGCGAATGACAAGCAACAACCCCCACGATACCGCTCATAGTGGGAAGTGTGTAATACAAACGAAAACGAATCGGCGTCACTACACAAAAGGCTTGCCTTTTTATGCATCCTTCTATCGGTTTTATTCCACACATTAAAGGTGGCGGACTTTTTACTTGAAGTTACCAGCTTGTTTTTCTCTCACATTTTTTCCTTGTTTAACCAGATTTCAGTCCTCAATCACATCTGAGCGGTGCTTGCGCACGCACAAAATTCCTCCAATGTGTCGTGAAATTTTTGGTGCTGTGCTTCATTGAGCCAAACCCTTTTTCTCCCTTTTAGGTCGTAACGGGCTCCTTAGATGGACGTCTTTCCATTTTTGGGTGATGGAGAATTGCCTGTGCTTTCAGCATCATTCTCTGCATGCATTACAAAAACCAGTGCATTTCGTCACTTTTTCATATACACTGTACTCTTGTTTCTCATGGGGCAAAAAATCACAATGCACACTGACTCGAATATGCACACTTACGTGTACATTGTCCCCAGATGCCCCGTTTCAGCAACTCCGTTATAGGCATCTTAACGTCCCTCAAGGTCTCAAACAGTTGTGATCCTCCTTGTTGAATACGTCAAGGAAAACGGTTTCTTTAGCTTCATTTGCTTGATGAAGGCCCCATCCATGAGGGTTCCAAGCTAACGCATCACCTGCCAGTCGGTGGTGTAATGTTAACGAAAAACGTTCCAATGTTCAATTAATCTCAAAAGGGACATTATGTAGCCATTTTAGGTCCATAATCTTCCATGCCAAATTGTGACGTAAAAGCAAAGTCAAATTTTAGTTAATACTAATAGGATTTGACAGTGAGAGAAAACTTCCCATAGATTCTTCCCTTGCTAGTTTAGTCTGTACGAACGAAATGCGTTTATAAATGGCGGTGGGTTTCGGATCTGCTCATTTCTGTTCCCATCAGAAGTACTTGCCAACTTCTGCGCGTGAACACTCCAATGACGGGTTCTGGTGCGACTCCATATTCACTGCTACTCAAAATTCATATCCATTTATCGTAATTTGAAGTCTGTAACCTTAAAATGGTTGCATAATATAGGTGCTTTTGATTCATCGCAGCAGCACTTGTGGCTCAAGCAGTAAGTAATTCTAACAAGCCATAGATTGCTGCTTCCTACTTGTTTGCAGACAGAGGAGGATTTTCAAAAGAGGAGTGCGCCTTCGGCCGTCACGGTTTGTATTTTCTTTTCTCTTGCTGCCTTTTTTTGCCTAATGAAGACGGATGCCTGAGCTTGTCTTTTTAGTATCTTTACTATCATGGCCATGGTACTTTTTAGTAAGCAGATCAAGTGTGGTGATGAGTGGTTGTTCAAAGCAAATTGAAAGGCATGCGAGATCACAAGCCTAGGGGTTAATTTTCCTCTTCAAAGCAATGTTCCGAAAACAGAGGAGAGGGCTTATCAAGACTAGCCAACATTGGTTGCTGTGGCTGCAAGTGTTTGCGTGCCATTCATGTTTTCACTGTGCCCTTCAGTTGGCGTGTAGCTTTAATCAGGGTCAAAGTCTAGGAGACACTATTAGGTTGTTTACAAAACTTTTGCTTTAAAGATGGGTAAACTATCACCACAAAATCCTCCAAGCATTCTGCTACCGATCTGGGGTCTTAAGTGCATTTCGAAATTGTCTATTTCCATCTAGCGATCGTAGCACTGAATGGATACAAGAATTGTAGTACCGTATATATCCCACTAGGAATAAAAATGGAAAAATAACTGTCAGTTAGACAATTGTGGCCTCATTGTAGCGTTTTTTTGAGGATCAAATCTGTTGCAAACTCCAAGATGTCTTAGACATGACTAATTTAGCTTATTAGTACATTGGTAGAGTTAATTCATGTATTCATACGTACATGTGAACCTTGACATTGAGGGAATAGGCTGCGACATTGGCGCATTCGTTGCCAGAACCGCGTAAGGAGAAAGTATAATTAATCATGTACTTTATTAAGCTAGTAAAACACTTGACTTGCATCTACGTCGTATGGAGTCCTTCCATCTTTCATCACACATTGCCTCCTCCATCTGGCTAACTAAACGTGTGCCCTTCGGTTACCCTCTCGCTTCACCACCAAGGCACGAACGCACCAGCAAAACAAACACAATCAACAACTGCAGAACAGGTGGTCGAAAAGTCAATAGAGGCAACACAAAGCATGCCTTGGCAACTAGCGAAGCACTCGGATGTTGGCTCGTTGACCTGCCAAGTCTTGCTGTCCCCCAATCAAATGCATCCGACACGCACTTGGTCGGTCCAAGCCTCATCAAGTGGTTTGTGGCACAATTCGGTGTAGTGATGTGTTTGAGCCTGACGGGGAGCACGTGTCAAGCCAAGCATCTGTGACGCCACACTAAGGCAAGGAGACCGCACGCAATCAGTGAAACCTTACAAATACTTGCGTACTATCTGTAATTTGCTTTCAAAGAATAGCTGTGAGCAGTTTTTACCTTGGATTTCGCGATTAAGTGCCTTTAAATTGACTATATCTATTACTTATTCACTACGTTGAAAGTTTGTTTTAGTAGCTATGCTAACTCGTTAATGCGCTAATTAATTGGAGGTTTGATCAGGTCAAACTTTTCAACTTGCTCAAGCCTTAATACTTTGAATGGAAGCCAAGAAGTAGTGACTGTACAAGAGGATCCATTCAGCACTTACTATAATTCAGTCGTAATGCAACAATTAACGGGACTTTTCTCAAAACTGAACTAAAATAAACAGCGCCATCAGTCGGGTGAATATGGAAGAAGACGAGGAATTCATCGCAAGTTTCGAACCATGCGATTTGAAGCGCTTTTCGTTCCTCTATGTTTACTTGTCATGTCTAATGCTAATAAATGCGGAATAGGTTCTAAGCCGTTCTCAGTATCCTCCCATAATTGCATGGTCAGATGTATGTCCGTAGGTTGGAAAATTTGGAAATTTGGACGTTGGAAAAATTCGTTAAAGGGAAGAGATTCTTACCTTAGGCTAGTTCATCTTTTCGCACTTGTTCATCAGTTATTAGAGATTCCTCTCTTTGGCCCAACTTAACACAAAATCAAAAAGGTTTGGGCGAAACACACATTTCTCCAATAGTAGCGCAGCTGCAAACATTAATAAACTATTAATTTTTTTGTAAAAAGTTGTGTGAATGTGAATACAATAACAACTTTTGTCCTTTTAAGTGCAACTGGGAGGGTGGTGACTGAGTGATATCAAGTTGGAGGGACAATACCAATTAATAACTGCTATGCATTAACGACATCAATGTGCAGATTGCATCTTATTAAAATTTTTTAGCTAATCGCTTCGCTTTAACTTTCCGTTGATTTGCATAGTACTTTTGTAAGCATGCAAACTTATTAGTTGTTCATTAGCTTCTTAAGTATGCTCAAGCTCCTTAACAAAAGTAGAATAATCTCTCATTCAGAAGGACTAATTTTGAACATTTCGTTTTCTCTTACAGCTTGTTTCAAGTGGCTCTAAAACCTTAAGCTGCTAATCGATGCTTAAACTTGAACTGATGGAGAAGTTTATCAATTGGGTCATTGGAATTCTATTTCACCATAAGGTGAAGGCAGCGTCATGATCATTATCCTACCATTCTATTCCATGTTAATCGATGGTGAGTTGCACATTAGTTGTACATTTAAAATTACGTGAATGCGCACTGAAATTTAATTGGCTCGTGTTATTTGAACGCGAACCAATTACCGAATAGGCGCTAGCCAAGGTCTTAGATGATCATACGTGCATGATCCGAGTGGTGGACATGTATTTTCGAAGTACTAGAACAGTAGAACATTTTCGTCTCTATGTCTTACACGCACACCGATGCGCATGGCTGTATGCGTGTGAGTGACAGTGGTTTCAATGCGTTCGACATGCAAAATGATGGAAATGAAATTACTTGCTTAACCCTTCTTCAGCCTCCGAATCTCCTCTTTCCTCACCTGTGGGTAAATCCTTCTCCTCTTAGAGTCGAGATAAACCTTTCGGCTACTCCTCTACCAGGACTCATACATATACCTGAGAAAAAATCGCAAGAGAGCGACGAATCCAAATCCAAGCTCGATGTGATAGGAGCAATGAGGCGCAAGGAGCTGGAGGGGGAGGAGGATTCCGTGATTTATGACTGCGTTGTGTGTGGTGACAAAAGTTCTGGGAAACACTATGGTCAGTTTACTTGTGAGGGCTGTAAGAGCTTCTTTAAGCGCTCCGTGAGGCGCCAATTAACTTATACATGCAGAGGAGCTCGTCAGTGCCTTATTGACCTGCATCATCGGAATCAGTGTCAGTATTGCCGCTTTCAAAAGTGTCTGAGAATGGGAATGCATAAAGAAGGTATGCTGTTATGGATTTTACTCCCTTTTCTTTCTCAAGTTGTCATTATCACTGACTTTTGTTTGTGATGAGTGACATAGGTTAATATTTTTGCAAAGCCTACTCGGCGACAGACTTTTAACAGTCGTCAGTATATCCAAGTCATCAAAACGGCGTTATGGTTTCGGTGTAAAAGCAATCGCATTTGGTAGTAATTTTAGTCTCTCTATCTGACCAGTAGAAATTTACGGAGTAAATTAAATGAAAGCCTTTGAAGACAAATGCATTTGAATCCTGCCCAACTAAAGCTTATCGGAAATGTTGACGTTTGTTGAAAATATCATTTACTTAACAATGAATGGAAATATAATTGAGAGTTTTACATTTTCCATTCTTATTTGAAATCACTCTGGGGTCTATGCATTCATGTCTGGTAATTTGCTTCCTGCCATAAAATTGATAATGTTTTTGGGCATATGTGCTTCTAGATCAGCCATTTAGTGTGTCAAGAGCCCCTTATTTAATCAGACCTGCCAAACCAGCGTTGCTCGAGGAACGACAGCCGAATAGCAAGTCAACCTGACTTGCTTGCCAGAATGGCAGCCCTAGTTAAAGCGGCTGCATCAACTGTCACTACTATATTTGAGCCAAACGACTTCACTAGCAGCACAAATATCGCCTCAAGTTATGCCTTACCAAAGACCTGTCAAATTCATGCTTATTTAAAGGGAAAGTAGATCCAGCAACCCACACCCAGTGAAAGGGACGAGATACCCAAATATCACTTTAATATTGACAAAGTTAGCGAATAATAAATCGGTTTTGACAATTCCTAGTTTCGAAATCACTACCATTAATTTACTACCAACTTAAGAACGTTGACCGGGTAAATAATAAAGTACACTTTCTGAAAAAATTGTCCCACCAATGGTAAAAGTTGAATGCCCAAAATGAAAAAAACATTAAGCCGGATATCAAACTTGTATGGACACAAGCACAATTGGTGCAAATAATACAACAATCCGTTTGGTGTTTAACTCTTCCTTAAATTGCAAAAGTTGCAGTCCCGATAAAAGTTCCCTCTATGCCTTCAAAACCTTGCTGAAATTAGTTCGCTGAATCCAACCATTCCACCTAATTTCTCAAAATTCGGATAGCCTTTGTAAACGCTGCCTTATTGAGACATAGAGTAGTTGACAGTGCCAATAGTACAATGTAAGCGCATCAAAATCTGTCATGGTTGCTAAAGATTTTAACATAGCTGCAACAAATGAGTATATCATCTCCTTTAGCGGTTCAACAGGGCCGTTTGTCCGCAGCGGGTCATCCTTACTTCCGTGCCTTTGACCGCCGGAGTGGAGGGAGTTCTCCAGCATCAGACTTTGGAGCACCATCGATGGACTCAACTCAGACTTATTCTGTATTCCAAATGGTTGCTGCCTTACTAAACGCCGACCAGACCTTTGATTATCCGCTCACCAATACTGCAACTCTAACTACGCATTACGTGAGGTGGGCGAAACAGTTGCCATTCTTCGATACTATTCACGTAAGCATGAACCACCGTCATAATCTTGACCCTCTAGTCATCAGTTTCCACCCATGTATGCAATGGAAGTCCTATGAGCAATCGTGTGCTTTAATTTGCTAAATTTTTTTTCAGAAGGTCGACCAGATGGCACTATTGAACAGTGCACTGTGTGATGTTATCCTATTAACAATATCTCAGCGTTGGAATTATGGAATCGATCTTTTGGGACTTCATCAGTCCACCAATGAGAACAAAGAAAAGAAGTACGACTTGGGGCGACTCCATGGTATTGTTAACCAAGTTGCTGCACTACATCTCACCTTCGTTGAATCCGCCTGCTTTAAGGCAATGCTGCTCTTTAACGTGGGCAAGTATTCTAGCTTGTGATTGAAACAATGCTTTAGTGTACTCGATATGTTATGCCGTGTTCTCAATATAATCTTAGATTTAGATAAGCTGGTGGATCCTACTCCAATCAGATATGCGCAAATAGAGGTACAGACTGCTTTAGAGGAATATCTGCACTATACCATGTCTGCCAGCCAACCTAGCCGACTGGGGTTCATTCTTCTACGTTGGATCGGTCTAAGGACAACGAGCTTTAGAGCACTTCTCGTGAAGGCCTTGTCCCCAAAGGACTACTCTGTAGAGTTGGAGCTACACAGAGCACTCACGTCGCAAGCGGATTTCACCACTATGGGCCATCATATCGTGAACGTTCCTGCCTCCTCGATCTCCTTACGATCAAGCAAAAGTTATTGTAATCATCCACTGCCCCAATTTCACTCAGATCGGCTAAACATGATTTCAGTCGATAACTCCACCAAATTGAATTATGTTTGGAGGTATCCGCAGGAGGATCAGTCCTCCGGTATGAATCACCACTTTACCTTTCAATCCCTTTGCCGATCTCTCCGAGACCGGTTTGTGAATGGAACTCCTGTTTCGGAAATCTAGCATGGCTACTTATTTAAATGTTTGTAAATGATCAAAAATGGATGCCATTTATGCACTATGCATTAGGACTTTTGCAATTCAAAATAACCTCTCCATACTGTAAAGAGGAAGGGATGATTATGTTATAGTTGGAGATGTAGGTTCAGCTGTCCGTAATGCTGCCAGAGACCGAGCCTGATTACTGGCACAGCTCAACCCCAATGATATTACGTGCCTCATTAAGGTAATGATTTCAACAAGGCCACTAAAGTAGAGGATGTTTTGCAAGTAATAGTTCTACATGCTGTTTATTACAATCACCATTTACAAAGTCATAAGTAAGAGTTTGTAATTTATGTCATGCAAGTTGCTTAAGTACAGTAAAACCAAATCCACGCTTCACTTTTTTACGTGTCTGTGTACTTTGTTCCTCATATTTCCTATTCAATAGCAATTTAAAACAAACAAAGGCAGTTCGTATAGCAGACTGCTTCTACTTGAAAAAGCACTTCCTAGACTTTTATTAATGAAGAGCAATCATTTAAGTATTTAACTCCAAACAACTCTGAGACTCGCCAACCGACACCGCGGGATTCTCATACACACAAGTTCGTTAGCCGATTTTCTTATTTGCCTTCGTAAGACTTAAGACAGTTTTGAGCCTCGGAGAACAAAATCTGAAACATTGCCTTCACAACGAATTAAGTTGTCATTTACAAACGCAGAAAGGAGATGCGGTACTAATTTTCAGTTGATCTTACAGGTAATAACAACATCGACTCATACGTCCTGCTTGCATAAGACTACTCTTGTTAGTAGTATTGACGATATTAAAGAAAAATACTTTTCAAATGAACCCGCGCATACTAAAAGAAGAAGAGCAAAGCTGTTGTGATGCTTTATTCTGTTGTTTTGAAAAGAACCGAATTTACCCACCATAGATGCCATTAAGACCGTAAAATATCTTTCCAAAGCGACGGAAACGATACGCATATTCTATTTTTTGATGCATGCAATCATTTTTAGCGAATTTTTTGTGTAATAGTCAATTTATGCACAAGGTATAAAGTTAAACAAAACGGATTCTTCGTTTGTCAGGTAGGCAGGTATTAAACAGCGGTAAGGTCCTTTTAAAAATAATTACACTTGTCATTTGTCCGCATTCATCTAATTAAGTCATAATGTTGAAGATCAACTAAGTAGCCGAAATCAGCAGGGTTAAGGGCAAAGTTTATTTACAAAAACACTAATGTATGTTGTATCAGTATGGCGGTAGCACTATATTATATAACAATTACTTTCCTTAGGTGGGAAACTTTTTCCGAAGAGATCAGATGCCAAATGACACAGTCTTCTCAACGCCTATTTTGATTTACTTCACTTTAAGCTCTTCAAGCTTCTAGCCTACTATTTGTAACTTAAAGAGAAAGGCAGAAAGAAGTTTCAGCGAATAAAATTGGGAAATAAATTAAGTAACTACTCTTTTATAATCAAACGGACAAGACATTTGCGTTTGTAAATTACAAGGGAATAAAACAAGAGAATGGGAATGAGCATAGACATCCCTTTTCGCGTCCATCACCAAGCGGATTCTGCTAATTTAATCACCGGAATGAGTCGACATAACACGATTACTCCACCATGGACGCAGTAGTAAGGTAGACCGCATGATGCCACAACGATGTAGCAATAAAGTCAAATAAAAACGTGACACCGAGTGCAATTATCAGTGTCACTGATTGCGTGCGGTCTCCTTGCCTTAGTGTGGCGTCACAGATGCTTGGCTTGACACGTGCTCCCCGTCAGGCTCAAACACATCACTACACCGAATTGTGCCACAAACCACTTGATGAGGCTTGGACCGACCAAGTGCGTGTCGGATGCATTTGATTGGGGGACAGCAAGACTTGGCAGGTCAACGAGCCAACATCCGAGTGCTTCGCTAGTTGCCAAGGCATGCTTTGTGTTGCCTCTATTGACTTTTCGACCACCTGTTCTGCAGTTGTTGATTGTGTTTGTTTTGCTGGTGCGTTCGTGCCTTGGTGGTGAAGCGAGAGGGTAACCGAAGGGCACACGTTTAGTTAGCCAGATGGAGGAGGCAATGTGTGATGAAAGATGGAAGAACTCCGTACGACGTGGATGTATATGGAGAAAAAAGGAATGTAATTATGCATTCAGCAGCGCCCAGTTTTTACCTAAAATTGACCGTTAGGTATGGACGAAAATTGCCCGCTAAATGTGCAGATGCTATCGCAATCTGCTTCTGAAGCGCACATGACTGAGAGGCCCTATGACCTGATTCCACAAGGTTCAAAACAGATACAATCAGAAGGAAGTGAAGAGCATTTAGAGGGCACTATATGCCCTGTTTAATGCGAAACCGAATGCGCAATTTCGCCATCTCTTTCACACACCCGGTTTCCACTCTTTCAGAACAAGCTGATGTGCACCGATTAAACAATAGTCTTAATTGTCAGCGCATCACAGCTAAAAATTCTAAAACGCAATGCTTAAATGTTTTGGTAAATAGTCGAGTTCAGTGCAATGGGCATAGCACTAAATTATTATACTACCACCTTTTACACCATTTTTATGGTACATGTGTTTGTAAAACAACTTTCTTGTTATAAACACGTTGTCTTTCAATTAAATACTGTAAGTTTTAAATTAAAAATCAGTGTGTGGGAATTGCATAATACGTTTCACAAAGAAGAAAGCCTAACCGGACAGAATTAAGAGGATCAGTAGTTGGAACAATGTGCCTATTCGTTGTCTATTTCGCAAATCCGCCTTCGGACGAGAATCCCAACTTATGGCTCAAAGTGAACGCAAAAGAAACTTGTATTCTTTCTTCATTAATACAGTTGTCGCAACGGGTAAAATTCCAGATCCACAAATGTTGCTGAAGAGATTAGCGACGTTGCCATTGTGTATCTCCTCTGATTCCTAGAAATTCGATGACTGGCAGCTCTTAGTGCGTTATGATGGCTGATACATAAGGCTTATTAAGGGCAGCACCAGAGAGGAAGCTTAAAGGAAGAGAACAAGTATCAAAACGTTTACTGCTAGGGTGATTTTAAGTCCAAGTTACGGACACTGGTGTTGGTTGGTTTGGCGTCGCTAAGTAAAGTGGTCTTTCAGCCATGTCTTTAGCTCATTTTCATTTACTTACTGTCTCTTTTGAGTTTGGAGAAGGACCAAAGCGCAGCAACATAATTTAGACGAATATTGTTCGTTCTTTTTAAATTGGTAGTCATTTCTTTTCTTTGATAATTCTAAACTCGTTGAGCTCCATGCTTATGCGAATGAGGGAAGTATTCGAGCGTAAGACCTCCAGTATGATTGATAACAATGACTGTAGTGAATAGTTAAAACGTCTCAATTATCACACAATTTCATTCAAAAGATGAAAGGGTAAATACTCTCCTTGAAACAGGAGTGCTAAATAGGAGACTCAAGCATTCTTGAAGGCTGGCATCGAAAAAGCCCAGACCTGGTGGAACGGTCTAAAGTCATGTCAGGGCGACAGCCGCACAATAATGGAGAATCCGAGCTATCTTCTAAATAAAATAGAAGGTTAAAAAACAAAGTTGCCAAATACCAGAATCTGCGTATTTTAGTTCAAATCCATGATTTCGTCTTTGTTGTACTGATTAGTCTCTTACTAGACCAAAGGACTGTGGAAAAAAACTATTAAACAATTACAGAAAAATTGAATTTAAATGCAAAAAACTGGTCTATTAAGATTTTATTTTGATTGTCCTTGTAAGGCTTATGGATTCTTAAAAATTACCCGATGGGTGAAAGTCGAAACAATAACTTAATTTGTCTGATAGAGCATCAACCGTATTTCCTTGTCAGGGTCAGAGACCATTTTTCCTCTTAAAATTCTCATTTAGTTTATCCATTACCATCTCCAGACCAAATAAAACCTCAAAATGGCAGTTGTGCATCTCATTCTTTACGTTATCCAAGGCATGAGGAAGAGAAAGAAGTAATTAAAATGGTTAGGGTGGCGGACTTAGGTTTTCCTCCTTAAGACTTTCAGAAGAGACCCTTACTTACCGTTTGTGGCATATCTTTACAATGTGAAGGAAACGCATGTTCACGGGCAGGAGTTCCTCTGAACTCTTCATAACAGAAGGGTTGAGAGTGATGTC